ATTTGCACAGAACACCTCCGAATCTGTACATTTGGCTACATTTGTCATTTAAAAAAATTTGTAGTAAAAGTAAAATAGTGTTATTCATACATTGAAAACCAATATTTGCTACTAAAAAACCGGTTTTCGAATTTCATAATTTTCTCGAAAACCCCGGTTTTTAAAAACCGACAAACCCTAGTCCTAGTGCACGTTACTCAATAGTTTTCACGTGCAGCTGATCTTGGATTTGTTTTCAGAATTTATCCATAATCCAGTAGTGATCGACAAACTGCTTCAAAATTTCGTGTGGTCGCCACCTTTATCTTTGCTCCTTTAGTCATTTCTGTTCTAGCGTTTTTAATGTGCTCCGTGAATTTCAGTTTTAACAGAATCGTGTAAATAAACAGAATTACTTTTTTATTCCAGTTTTCATACAACATTTGTGGGTTTGTCTTCTCATTTGTTACTCCGAAATGGTCATCTATTTAGCTTAGAGAGGGCGATGTATTTCTTGGAGTGTCGGCGTCTATGCGATGTGCATGGCTTTCTTGGACATTTCTTGCGACCTATTTCCAATTATGTGCTCTAACAGTTTGCTCAGTACCGAGAGTGTGAGTTTGTACGTTGGTATTTGTGTGTTGATATATGCATATAATTATGCCTTTCGTCCTTATCCTTTTTGTTTTTGCAACAATTGTTTAGTTGTTTTAGTATAATCACATGTCGTAATTTACGGGAGTTAATCACAGTTTCTGCTTTTACAACGGCTCTAAAGTAGCACTTTCGTATCAATTTACCGTTCGAATAAAGCGAGCTAGACAACTTGTACCTAAAAATCACCGTGATACGCGGTTTGATAATTATTTCATTAAGGAGAATGTGTCTTAGTATGTTATATTTTATTGAGAAATAATGGCAAAAACACATACAGTAAAAGGTTCCAATTTAATAAAGGCATTTAATATTCTTGCGCCCGTGGAATTGAGTGAAAAAAAGTAAAAGGGTTTGGAATATGCAAATTAAATAATTTCACCAACGGTCTGACGTCCTCTCATTCATAATTTGAAGTATATTTCGATTTCAACTGTTGCCTCTGCTGATTGAGGCACAAAGAAACAGAATTTGCAAAATGCAAATCAAAGAAAACTTTCTAATGAAGTATCAAAACGGCACTGTTGCCTGATTTGAAATTTAGTTTTTATTATCTCAGCGAGGCTCAACTTATTTAAATAATTGTTCAGTACTATAAAGAGCCCCATCACAATATTTTCAAAAGCAAAAAGTAACAAAATTAGAATTACCTTTCACGAAACCGGTGAAATTTATTCAAGTCACTTAGATATACAGAGATAATAGTTTGATGGAAATTTTCAAATTTCAATATAGCAAAATGTATATGATGTTGATAGTAGAAGTTTCTTTCCGTGGCAAAACACATTTTGGAATTTAATCTAGAATACGCCAGCTCATTTTTTCCATAACCTGATTTGCATGCAGGCCGCAGTTCTCAAATTATTCGCCAACTTTCCGGGTGCCATGTTTATGTCTCAAATTTTGCCGATGCTTCATCTAAATGTTGTCTGTTTTGCATCTGGAAGTTGCAAATTACTTTTCACCTTAAAACGTTTGCTCGAACTCTTTAACAAACTTTAAATATTACGAGATCGTTTGCTGGTACATATCTTGGTAACAGATGCATACATTTTCTTTTATATATTTTTTTTACTAGTAGTGTAGGGAATTACTACTTTTTCACAGCTTGGTAGGAAATGAAGAAAATTAATAGTAATACTTCTACAAACTCATCAATTTATTTGTTATTTTATTTATATTACATTTCCAAGCTGACAGAATAAAAGTACAATAAATGAAATATCATAATAAAACATCATATTAAAAAAGCTGTCAGCACCGGCTTTCCAAATATCCACCAAAACAAATTTAACTTTAAATAAGGACACGTTTTATTTCTAAATCCCTAAATCAAGACATTTCCTTCAATAAACTTTTAAATGAATTTAACAAAACTGGCATATGACTTTCATCTCTTTTATAATACTGTAAAACCTTTGAAACGTTTGCTCCCAAATCTTTCAGTAAACCAATTTGCATAACATATTTCGTGTGCCGTTCCAAAACAACTTCCAGAAATATGTTATTTCGTGAGCGCGTAAAATGTATTTCTCGACACTTATCACCGAAAGCCGTACATTTTGGAATATGGAAAATAATTCAGCTTCAACGTTTCATAAACAAAGAGCTTGTTTTGGTCGATATTTTTCTCCCTTGAATATCTAATGTCGATATAGGGAAGTTGATATCTGAGGCTCATTTTGCAATGTCATAAAATATCTATCTCTAATTAATAGGTAACGGAATATTTGTAATTCGTTTAGGTGCAATTCAAGTACGAATATTTGCTACTTATCCTCAATAAGGTTTATCCAATTTGCAAAACGGGAGCTGAAATTTTCCAACTTTCCATTCACACTTAATTGCCACATGTTCCATCTTCAGGCATGTATTCCTCAACTAAACTTTTAAACTCGTTTAGTGGACAAAATTCGTCACACGCTGACAGTTTGAGTAGCTTAGGTGATGTTGTACCATTATAATTTTGATAGTAGATCTATAATAGAAAGAAACTATTTATTACTTAGCAAGCACGTTTAACAATATAGCTAGGAATACTCCTCATTAAAACTAGCAATTATTCATTTTTACTAACAATCCAATATTCCACTTCCATGTAAAGCAGTTAGCTTGAAAGCTGTTTTATCTAGCCTGATAAGTATTTTTGACATTTTCAAATGGGTTACTTATAGGTATTTTTAATACGCAAAACGACTCATTTATGTTCAAATTAACATTTATTTTCATATGATAGACTGATAAACTGCACAGTTAATAATTGCAGTTATTATGCATATAAAGGTAAAACCATATTTTATTCCAAACAGTTACGGCGTCTAATGCCGTGTCCAGAAATGTAGCCAGTAATGATATTTGGTTCGCTTGGGCTGGATGGAAATCTAATTCGAACACCGCCAGACAAAAATCTGAACAAATTTTAGCGACCATTCAACAAAATTCTGAAGTTTCGGTTCAAACAGGCACAAAAACAGAGCGTGTAATTTTTGCAAGCTCCATACATACCTACTCTGACCTACCAACATCAACGTTTTGATAGATGATTTCATAAATGTTCAAGAACCTTGGAGGATATCCTACAAAACATGATGTATGAAAGGGATTTTTCGAAGTCGCAAAAAATTCCTTTGGTTTAGAATTTTCGTACACTAAAAACTCTAAATTTTTATGATGTATATTTAAATGCGGTCAAAATTACTAAATCCACAAGTCATGTCGCTTTTTTGCTTGCTTTTGTTTAATCGCGACCAAACTGCTACATCGATAGCGAAAAGCCATCCCAAAATTCAATTGATACATATACTAAATAAAATCTTTAACGGATAATAAGTTTATTATAGGATAATAATTAATTATCCTGGAAATTAGATGTCAAATACGAAATTACCATGGAAAATCGTATTGCATGTCGGCTTTTGAATTAATAAATACTGTATCAAAAATCAACCGTTTTACAGATTGAAACTATAGAATTAGCAGAACAGCATGCTTTGAATGAAAAATAATAATACACGTAATTGTATCGTGTAATTCTTATTAATCCTGCTCAGGACAATAGAAATGTGTAAGCCGGTGGTAAATCGAGAATGTGTATGCTTTACAGTGTTTGCTTGCCCATATTGTCCTGGTAAATAAAATCTTGGAAATTGTGCTGGTGTTTAGTTTGCAAATGCAATAATAAATCCAGTAGAACAATAAATATGTGTGCAGTGTGTTCGCGGCGAAAGGAACAGATTCATTTAACACCTAAACGAGAAGGGGTTTGTTTTGCACGTTATATTTTTTAATAATATGCAAAATGATCAGACATTTTTGTTAGTTTATTATTCTTGTTTTGTCGTTTATGTTATTTTATATCAATTAAAAATGTATGGAATATATACAGGGTGTTCCGGAAATATGTTAAAATATTTTAACAGCTCTTAGTCATTTTAAAGGAGGTCTTTCTGAGAATTTTTTTAATTTGAGGTCTCATTTTTGCGATATTTTATCTCCCAAATGGCAAAAAATATTAATTTTTGTTGCTTTTCTTCAAAACGGTTAAACATGGAAACTTCAATTTTGGTATAAATAATAAGCTAATTGAGTGCTATTCTATGGTAGTGTTTTGTAGTTCAGTTTACTTTTTTACAGGGTAAAAATGTGGAACCCCTACTTTTGTTTTGTTCAGAACTTTTTTATGTACACTTAAATTTTTATCAACATATTTTTTTTTAATTACTGCATGTAATTGATCAACTTTTGATCTCTTATTGTTTTTTCTTAAGACCACTAGTAAAAAAAATTAAATCGTTTCGGCTTGATCGAACACTTTCCAAGCCGTTGGATTGGGAGAGGCCAAGACGCTCTTATAAACTCGCCTCCTAGATCTCCGGATCTAAACACGCTTGATTTTTACTTCTGGCGCCGTTTAAATAATACGGTGTATTCAACAGAAGTGAATACAATCGAAGAACTTCAGGGAATATTATTGTTATTAAAAATAGGTTGATGTGTTGTCGATTTACTTCTTTACTTCAATATATTTAGCTAGCTTTAATTGAACGAATCGAATTGTTTAAAGTTTATTCAATAAAATATAGCCGAAGTAATTTATTTCTGAAAATACTGAACCAAATAATTCAAGCCCGTTTTCAATATTAGCTTCGCTCACGGAATTGAACTCCTCGGTCAAAATCGGTTTTAAATTAAAAGTCAGTATTTGTTAATAGCATAAGATACAAACATACCGTTTTTCCTATGAACACAAATATGTAATGTTTTTATTTGTCTTCATTATATTTTCATAATACTAAAATGCATACCGCATACATAAACTACAAAAATCTAGGGAATGATAATAAATCATAAATGAAGCTCACGGGTATACATATTTTGTTTTTTGTACGAAACAAAATACAGAAATGTATGAGATTGTTGCACCGATTGAAATTTAAAAAAATGTTGACAGTAATTTAAAAGTACGAAACTAGTACGCGTTTGAGATTTTAGACCGCCGTGGAGAAACATTTGTTCTGATATTTTGCAAGCAGGAGTGAGTTACATATTCAGATGTGCTTTGTCTTGTTAGCGGTGACAAGGATTGCTTTTCTTTTATTGAGTCTATTGTCTATCTTGGTATTTTTTCAGTTCGCTTGGTTTGTGCTTATGGATTTCAATGGCTCCTCTTATAAATGGGAGGAGACAAAACGTTTTTGTGAAAAGGACTTGAGTTTCTCCGAATTTCATCTTGCCTATTACAGTTTCTTCGATGTTCCTGGATGCTGGTTTTAACTGATATTTTTGTGTTCGTCTTGCAGTTCTAAGTAAACGGCGTTTGTTCTGTCTTGGATCTAAGTGATGGGCTTGAATTTTGTTTTCATATCATGTTTTCCCAGTATTTTCCGATTTGTCCTCACTATGGGCGTAAAAGGTGAACATTCTTTTAGGTCTTTGTTCCGAGGCGGATCAATGAACTTCTTTCTGTGTAAGCTTTCGAGCTAAAAAAATGCCTGAAGATGCAATCCAGACACCTTGTACCTGAGAAACGGCGAAAAAATATTTTTCGAGGCAACCCAGCACCCCAGGCAAGGCAACGAGGTGCGTTCTTTAGCGTTAAAAATTGACATAAATGTACTTTAGAAATATTCTTTACTGTATTACCAAACACCAATTTCAAGATCAACAGTTTAGTCAGTTTTTCCAACCAACTTTCATATCGATATCGATAAACCCCAATTTTATCACCCTTGTGTGTATTCGTGAGCTTGTTACTTGAATAGTATCAATACACTTTACTAATCGAATAATATTCAAAATCAATCTGGTTATAAGGTTTGTGTTATTAAACTTTACTGGAGAGCTATTCTAGAAGTTGAAACAGGTAAAACACACTGACTTAAACATTTAATTTTCAAACAAGTCGGTATATTTGACTTCAATAAAAATGGTTCAAAATTATATATATATCATAGTTCTCTTGGGAATATCTCTATCATAAAGATCTGCTTCTACGTATACGCAAGAATTTTCAAATGAATCATCGATATTACTGTAATTTCGGTTTCTTATCCAGTTTTCATTATTGCAGTAATGTTACGAAAATAAATCTCTGCAATTTATTGGTTCAGCTTTTCGTATTGATTTCGAGTTTCACTGCAACTAATTTTTCATCTTCTGAGTAAGTTTTCATTACTGTCCTGCTAGCAATTTACGAATTCACATACTATAATTAATATGACCGCTCTGTTATATACGTAACTCTAATCGATTCCTTTAAATTGAGTTGATTAACGTTTAAAATTTCCACTGCTTTTTAGAGCGCTATAGTGAACTCTAAATAGCACTTAGACTTAACTTTGCTTGGCACTCAACATCAATAATTGCCTGGGTTGCGCATAATTAAGGCGCTCTAATCAATAAGTCTAATTGACCTCATACTTTGCGCTCTTTTTCCGAGACACTCGATGAATAAAGTGGCTCTAAATTAAAATTTTTGAATTGCTCGTTGCATTTGGACCTGGTTTACGTTTTACTGTTCTCTTTGGTTATGTACCTATTTGATTTTATTGTCGGTAGTTTTACTATGCAAAAATGAAATTAATTAAATAATTTCAATTAAAAAGAACAGCCAATATTTGAATTGAAAAGTTGTTGCCAACCCCCGCATGAATCAATAACGTCTGGATAGTTACATTGTTGTAAATTAATACCTTTGCTGGATTTTTCAAAAATCATTATTCGGTTTTAGAAGAATAGGAAAGTTCGGCAAAATATCTAAAGTTTCCGTAAGTGGAAAAACTGTACGCGGTCCTAATAGTATTTTATAAAAGAATCATTTACTTATAATAAACACGCTAAACTTCACAAAAAAATCGGCAAATTTGATTTTGATTCAAACTCACCTTAAAACCGTATGTGCTATTTATGTAGTGCGCCTCTACCAGAATATATGAACCATACGTTGGAATATGCGGATATTCAAACAAATCTAATGTCATTAGAAACTGCCCAAGATTATTTTCATGGGCCGAGTACAAATAGATCTTTGTGTCGTTATTGGATCCGCTTATTCTATTCTCTGTATCGATAATCATTTTCTGAATCAGATAACCTGGAAAAAAACCTTTAGACCTACTAAATCAGTTTTATTTAATTTTAATACCTGCTGCCATTTTTCGAAGTTGCGTAGTCCTAGTATAAATGGAATACTGCTTATAAGAAATTTCATTGATAAAATCCGGCCATACTTTGGCTGTCCAGTCTGGCAATCTTAGGCCATATTCTTCTTCTGTGGAGAGTCCAAAATACAGATCGTAAACTTGACTATACCCAGTTACATTCAGGCCACTATTCTCGGAAATGTAAGTGAAGTTGTCGGCATATTTTTCATATTCAGCTAAAACCTTCGGCGACGTCTGAAGTTCATCGTACAGGCTCAAATAATTTGGGCAGTTGATTCCATATATGATTGGATCGTCTGTATCTGTGTTTTTTGAAACGTTGGTTATAGTTGAAAATCACTATTATTCATGTTAACTAAGCTCCATTTAGAGCCAATAAAAACGTAACTTCAAAAGTTATCCCCTTGTTCAAAAAATCGATAAAAACTTGTTTCATTTTTCAACATTAGCTGAGGGCCACCTATGAAACCCTGGAAGTTTCAGTTCAAAAATAATGCTTCGAAGCTGCAATTGAAAATATGCAACATAACAGGCAAAGCATACGGGAATTTTTTTTATTGTTTACTTATTGATAGTAATAAGATTATAGTAGCGGTTCATTTTAAATCAAATAAAGTAAAAACGCATTTTAAAAGTATCGTCAATTATGTTATTTGTATACTGCGTACTTTATATTTTATAATGTGTGAGCGCCTTCCATAAATCGAACTTTAAATGGATACCTGGAAGTCCGATTAGGGCTTTAGGTATTTTTTTAGTTCAAGCCATATTTTTCTTTTCACTATCTTTCAGTATTGTTGAATAGTTTTAAAATTCGAAAACGTCACGCGACATTCAGCAGGATTAAGCTGCATATTCAAATAATAAAATTATTCTGATTCTATTTATCGCTACGTAATAAATACCTCAAATCAATAAATTGATAATAGACCTCACACTGTTATTGCCCATATCACTTACATTCCTTAATAAAATGAAAGTCATAAATACATCCAAGAACGATAATAACTATTAAACTTGTTGTTGATTTTAGCTCAATAAAGTCACTCAATATCGTAATTTTCATTAGTACATTATTTGTCGTAAACCCCCTTTTCAAATAATTAGAATGTCTCTTCCATTTAAATCTCTTTATGCAGTAGAAAGGGGACAGAACAGTTTACCTGGAAGATAATTGTATGGTATGGGTTGCCAGTTTAGCTTCGCGTTCCATATTTCTGAATATCTTGGCGGAAACAAACTGGCTAAAACTAGCAACAAAGACATTTTCGTGCGGTTTCTATCCGTGCTTCTAGCATCCACTAAGTCCGGAACATAATAATCTCCTAGAAAATTATTATATCTTTCCCTAAGAGCTGTGCCTATAGAGAACTCTCTTTTCTTTCCTGCCTAAAATAAAGTGACCAATTATGAATAACAACAAATGAAAAACTTTGGAAAACGTGGTTCACGCAGAAGTATATTTATGATAAAAACCGTCCACACGTTTTCATAAGTCAATTAAATAAAAATTCCAACGGGTAATCACATTTGGGAAAACATATACAGATGAATTTTAAATTGAAACATTTTACTCATTGCTTTATGAACGTAAACAAATTATTAGATTATGTAACAGGGGATTATTATTTTTAAAACAAGTTACCCATTGTCGCATGTTATTGAAAAACATTACTTTCAATTGACTACACTAAGGCTGTCGTGAATAGTAGCTTAAAAAATGCGCTAAATAAAAGAAAAATGTAGTTTTGCTTTAATCTCGGATTAGCGCCCGAGTCTTGGTAGGCATTTAAAGGCTTTCGCTGTAAGCTAGATTTTATCCCCCTAGTAGTAAGAGCCATTAGTGGAAGAAGCTAAACAGTTAATGCTGCAGAAATTTAGAGCAATATCCTTAGTAAAAATTTTTTTACTTGCAATTATTCGCAGCTACCTACAAATTACGATTATTTGTATAGTCAAATAATATATGAAATAAATAAAATATGTTTAATGTATTTTGAGCTGTTGAGCATATGTTCTCCGAAGAAAATGTTTATAATGGAAAAAAAGTCCATCACTATAAGCTGTAAAATGTTGAATGTAATTTCAAGCTGCTCAATCGAAAATAAAATTGATTATTGAATCAATTAGGAAAATGTTGAAAACAGATTGTCGATTTGATTATTTCTGCCAAGGTGTCAGTTTGGCCCTTGCAAAATTCGAATGTTTTTTCCTAGATACAAAAAAGGGGTGTCAGCCCCCATTTATAAGGAAGATTGGTATTCTATTACTACTTTTATGGTAAATAAAATAGAATATTTATCAGGTAAACATTATAATCTGTTATTATAGTTTGTTAAAAATCTAATGAAATATCATCTTACATTAAAATTCCGATGTCTTGTTGAACAATTAGAGTATAAATAATTTAATTCAACTTTCTTTACTGTGCCTCTACCTTTAGCTGAATTAAATTATTGACTTGATTAATTGACCTTTTCCTTTTTCCGGTCGTTAATAATATGGCATCAAAAAGTTTTTATTTGTTGAAACATTTTCCTTCAATTGTATGTTGTAAACATTCAACATTCAACTCTCTAGCAGGATTGGAATTTTTCATAAATAACATATTTTAAATTATAAATCCTCCCTTGATATAGCTAGTAAAAATACTTACATCAGTTAGCTGTCCATGTTTTAATGGATAATAGGTGTAATTATAGTAGGGATCCAATGGATATAATTCGGAAAGTTCGGGAGTTCTGTTTCCATGACGAAATAGCTGGAAAAATTAATTCAATAATTCAATTTTATGATTAGGAAGGCTACAGGTTCTACAGAATAATAATCTACGGACAAATATAAATGTGTCTGTTTAGTCTAAAAGAAGGAATTTGTAAATATAATAGTTGTTTAGATTTATGTTCTCATTTTAATGAATTTGTTGATGATGTTTTATAAGTTTTTAGCTTATTCTCGATTGAAGAGCAACTTTTTAATTTGTTAATCTTCAATGATTTGCCAACAAAGCTTACAAATGTTTTTTTCGCATTCCCTATTTCTTCCGTAAAGTGTATGGGTCATCGTCTACGCGATAACCAATTGATATTGACACTGTTTTCGGCATTTTTCTTGTATTTCAATTCAACCACTACAAATCGTTTGGAAATCAAACAATGGAACAACCATTTTGGCCCGTCGGCATTATTGCTGGGAAGCAAAACCGTATTATTCAATATCAAATAAAATGCTAAAAATGTACAATTAATTGTAAAATTGACTGTAAATTCCGACAAAACTTTTGATTATTTGAATATGCAGTTTAGACATTATTTGACTGTTTTTTGTGAGCTTAGTAATATGCACAAATTTGAATAAATCTCGTAATATTTACCCAAGTCAAATATCGGCCACAGAAAACCTATAATCCACTTCAAAATGTCGGTTAATCAATGCAAATCAAAACTGATTTATTTACCAATTTATTTATTATGGACTTTTGGAGTTTTTCTAATAATCGTTTATGTTTTAGTTCGTTGTAATTCAGCTGTTTAAAGCATTAGAAATCACACAATCGAACAACTATTTCGGCCTGCCGCTTATTATTATTACTTGGAAGCAACACCGCATTGTTAAATATAATATAAAATGAAATTAACACAATAGTTGTAAAATTGAGTGTAGTTTCCGGAAAAACTTTCCATCTTTTGAAGATATTGACTTAAAAATTTGCTGTTATCTCTTTATTCTGTTTTTTTTTATGTTTATTTCTGTACTATGGAGAAATTTGAATACATCCTTTGCTTATCCTGATCGTATATCGGCCATCACAAACAAAAAATCTAGCTCAAAATATCGGTTAATCCATGCAAATCAAATCCAGGTTTAAACAAAATTTTGGCGTCAAAAGTCTTAAGCGCATATTTATTTATTTTGGTTTTCTGGAGGGTTTATAATAATAGTTTGTGGCTGTTTTAGTTCGTTGTCTTTCAACCGGTTAAAGTATCGTTTTAAAAAATTACAAGATTTGAAAAAATACTAGGGTGAATAAGCTGTTTTTTAAAGTCGATCTGTTGTAGTATTTAATTACAGTTTGCAATTAGTACATCATTTTTCTTCCGGTATAAAATGAATGAAATGTCCTCTATTTCGGATATTAGTAACCAGATTCAAAATTTAAAAGCTGAAAGTATTTAGAAACAATTTATAGCTAATTAATGGTGAGAAAAACTTTAATGAACATTTATTGTATATGATTATAGGCTATGCACTCAATTAGTTAAATTATCGATAGATAAACAAATTTAGAAATAAATCGGACATTGCTTTAGCAAACCAATACTAATTATGGTAGTAATTTTATGTCGTCCATATAATTAAGAGAAAATTAGATGATAAAATTATCAAAATAGTAACCTTGGTGTGGCAATTTGACCCTAAACTGTTTTCTATATTGTCAGAATTAGTAATTCTTTTAGATTAGTGAAGGTTGAAACTCTTTAAAAAATCATATTATTAAGACTTTAATTTCCTGTAGCTCGAGATTATCTCATACATTGCAATTCAAGCGGATAATAGACTAACCGTTTTCAAGTAAAAACTAGCATTAATCCCTAGAACGACTAGGCTATGTAGGGTGTTCCCGAAGCAGAAGATATTTATCATATTAATTGCTTTCATTCAACGTCTGCTTAAAAAGTTTTCGTAGACTCATAAATTTGAATTTAAAATCTTGTTTGCAAATGCCATCATGTAGAACTTAAAAAAAATTATGTGAATATAGTAGGTTTCCGGGTTTTGATATATTTTAGTAAGACCGATTTTTGTTAAAATTACTTCTTAATGCACACTCACATAAGCAAAGCTTCAAAAGTTAGAAATTAATAATTTAGTGTCTAGAAAAGCTGTCTATTTCGATGTTATTTCGAGTTGTCCACCTAATTGATGCGCCAAAGGGCGCTTTATTTGGTTATAAATTCACTTACTATACATACAGAAAATTGAAAACTTTTGCAACCGTAAATTGTATGAGGTAAACTTAAATCTGCCATACCGTGTGTATGTAAAATAAAGATTTCGCAACTTTTTCTAGATATCTACAGGAAATACTGGAGATTTGATTTATACAAGCCAAGAATTAAATGTGAAAATCGCATATTAATCAAATTAATTCCGTGTTGGTGAAAATGTGGTCACTTACTACGTGAGATAAGATAAGAGTATCTTCAGCAGTATTTTGCTTCTTCCGGTCCTTATGAAAAATGTGGGGCCGATTGCCTAAAATAAAACCATCAGCAGCAATGGCAAGGATGGCCACAGTTCCTACTAAAGCCCCGTAACTCAACATAGCCAAATTAAAAACGCAATCGAACTGAAAAATACCTAACAGTACACATTTATATGTATACTACTCACATAATTATTGGCAGGTATATATGTACATAATTGGTGTAAGGCACATGCTTATTATCTATTTTTCGTATGTACATATATTGCAGCTTTGATAAAATTCATTTTCCCGCGAAAATTGCAGCAATAAAACCGTTGCTTATTACTGGAATTTGTTTATTGATATTTTATTTGTAGCTAAATCCAACATCATTTTATTTATTGTCAGTTTTGCTTTGATTGCCTCAATTATTAAAATCGTATATTGGTGTTTAATGACGAATATCGTTAATTTATACTTTCTCGGGTTTGCTCACCTGAATCGTTCTTTAGTTTAACGCCTATTTCGTTAACCCCATTTTTACAACAATCAAATATTCTTTTAATTTTTACTAGCTTATGCATATTTATATAATACTTAATTAGTAAAAAAGGTAATTCAAATGTCATTAAATATCCGGTTTGTGAAACCAATATTAATTAAAACGATTGAAAATCGATGTCGAAAATGACCAAAGGAATTATGTTTAAATAATAAATTCGAAAAATGTATCGCTAAATTCCTTACATACAGCAACAGGTCTTTTACTAAAAAATCCTCCAAAATTTGGTTCCTGAAAAAATAACGTTAAATAGCCGATGCAGTTGGTTTGGTTATGGCAAATAAATCCTCAAGCACGAAATGAACTAATAATCAGTTCCAGCAATTTTCCATTATTGCAAAGTTAAATATTTATCTAACAGTAAAGAGAGATCGCTCGGTCTGATTTGTTTAAACCGCATTTAACATATGCGATTCCGTTCCAATATTTTCGATCGAAATCCTTAATTACATCAATTTATTCACCGGGTTAAAATTATGTGGCGTCCTTTTAGCAAATATCCATAACCTCGCTATTTACTGTTCCATTATTGATATAATCAGTGGGGCTCTAATACATCAAACGTTTTAATCTCAATTCAAAACAATTGCACATTACAATAAAGCAATAATTTTAATATGTGACAATTACGATAACAGTTAATCCGAGATGTCATGTTTATTGTATGAAATTGTTAGGCACGGCTGGTTTTAAACTTTTATTAGGTCTGTTTTACACTATAAACCATGCACAAGGAATCGCGTGGAAAATGTTTTCTTAATATTTGCGAAATTGCTCCAGTTTTTTTGTTATATTTTCAGCTGAGCTTATTTCTTGTGAAATATTTATAGATGAAACAAGCCGTCGTCACATACGAGCACGTTGGCTGTTTTAAGCGAAAAACGACCAGAAAGTGTGGCTTTTCCAGTGGAAAAATTCAATATTTAAGAGTCTCACTATCAATTGGTTGCTTTTTGAACTCATTTGTAAGTGAATAAAAAACGAAGTTACAAATAGAGATTTAGGCTCGGTTTCTGGCATAGAAAATCGGTTAAAAAATACCGTAAAAATGTGAACGTATCGAATTATCCGATAAAATGAGCCGGTTTTGTTCAGGCAGGCTATTCATTTCAGATTATAAGTCACTTAATTTAAATTAAATTTGAATACCCCAGTGAGTTCAAATTTAAATTACGTCTTATTAGAATAATGGGTTATCTGCATGAGATATCTAGAATGAATAAGGTAATTAGATAATTTACGAAATTCCAGATGAGCAATTCCTCGAGAATAATCAAATTTTTATATTTGAATGTTGCTCTGTTTTCCTGGATTACAATTTCAAAGCCAATTCAGAATTGGGCAAATGTACAGAAGCACATGAATTAGATTGTTCCATGAGTATCTTCCTGTTTGGATGCAAAATCAATACGATATTTGAGGCTTTTATCACCGAAAGATTTTTGTATGAAAGAAGGAAACAATTATTTTGGAATATCAATCATACTGTAACTGTTTTCGGGTTAGCAGCATTGAATTGTTCGAGGTGAATGCAACATTTGCCAACAAAGGCTGAACTACTACATGACCTACTATGACTTGAAAGCTGGATCCGCCCCTGCTCAATGTATGATATTCAAATTTCGCTTTGTGGGTCACAACTAATCGAAGTCCTTCACTCATGTTGTTATGACTGAATCGAATTTTGAGTTATCTATCCAACCATGCCAAAAGTTCGCGTCTAAATCCTTACCGTTGACTTGCCAATGTTAGTGGCATCCAGATCACCTTAAATGTTTATACTATATATATATATCCCTTAAGGACATAATGGAAAGAGTATTAAGACATTCTTTGGCTCAAAAGGAGACGATCTGACCCAATTTTTATTTTTTTAGAAATGTATGGCTTCTTTGCTATTAATGGTCAAAGTTATTCAAAACAATTACCTTTGCTGAAGTATCGGGAGGTACTTAACCAAGTGGGAAATTCTTGAGTGTTTTGGTCCAAAAAATACGGGAAATGTTTATTTAGTGACTGTTTTAAAGTGTTGCACTAATCGTTTTAGAAAATTTTTGAGCTCTTTGTTAAATCTGGCAGCATTCATAAAAGCTATGAATGCTGCCCAAAATATTCCTCTTTCCTTGTTTTGTAACAGTTTCAGACATTAACTGGACATGTCGAAGTTAGCGATAATGTTCTTTTAAAATAAATTAAACTGTCAAACGTTTTATAATTTTTTCTGGCCGACATGGTCAAAGTCTTAGACCGGTCGTCCTTTGGGAGCGTTTTCCCGAGAATTGCGTTCCTCACAAAACCGACTAAAATAAACGAGCTTTTGCAACATATGGCCCTCACGTAAGAGCAAATCCACAGCGAGTTCTTCAGCAAAGAAATGATTTAAGGTTGCTTATTAAATAAAAGGCAAAAATATATAATGTCTATATGTAATTGTTAATTGATATGAAAACAGAAATATTTTTTGCGCAAAAACTATGGATATAGAAAGAGCATAAAAAGTCAAATAAAGATTATTATTTAGTTATTTAATAATCATTTAATACAATATACAATAATCAACAATATACAATATTTAATACAGTTTACATACGGGCAAATTTCTTTTGCAGTCAATACTCTTCAGTACTATAGCGCAACTTTAGCGTAGTTCAATTTAGGTATGTTCGATTTTAACAGATTAGTTCATTAAGCCAAAAAAATTAGTTCATTTCAATTAGTAAATAAAAAATTCTCGTAGTTTTTGTACGAAGACCCTCAAGAATTCAATTATTGCCCAAATCGGGGGAACTGAGTTGCTTCATCAAATTATGATTCTTACATAAATATCAACAAATTATCGGCGAGTTTTATTAGAATCCATTGTCTCGATTTTCACAAAACATAATTTATCTTAATCATAGTTCGTTCAGATCGTCGTTTTTGAGCCTAAGACTTTTTTGATTAGGTGTTTACAGGACACAGAAATTACATAAATACAACCGCTCAAGTATGTATAACGTGATGCCGAAGTAATTCATGGAACCTTACTTTAAGGAGCTCAATAGAAAAATGGGATCTGGTTTGACTTCAGTGAGGAATGAAAGCTAAAAATATATGTATTTCGTTGTTTCAGGATGGTCGACGTTTAGAGAATGGAACTGTAGCGTTCAGTGAGGATGGCAACGTGACCAGAAGTGTTTTGCAGTTTCTGCCCGAGGCCAGTGATCATGGCCTAACTTTGGCCTGTAGGTCTTCAAATCAACGAATACCATTTAGGTACATTACAAAACAACCCCATATTAACTCTTAGCAGCAGAGCAAATATTTTGTCATAATAATGGAACTTTTTATTATGACTAACTACTTAACTAATATAGAATTTATTTCGCAGTGAAATTCAGCGGACGTGGATGCTCAAAGTACTATATCCTCCAAAGGTCAATATGACTCTTGGCCATGGTCTCGATGGTGGAAATATCCACGAAGGCGCCGACGTTTACTTCGAGTGCCACCTTATAGCAAACCCATGGGTAAATCAGAGGTTTTAAATATATCGATTGTTGATTTTCAAACTTAGTCTCAATTGAAAATCCAAACAGTGTCAGCAGGAAAACTCAATCACATCCGAAACCGTAGCAAGTTTCTCGAGTTACTTATAGACTGAAACGTGAGACATGATTTTGGTTCAGTCTTAAAAGGTCTATTGTACAACGCGACACGTTCACTTCGGATTGGAAATGTCAGGAAAAACTCAAAGTGAATGCTGTTGTTAAACTCTTATGTGAATATTGTCACGTTTCTACTACTTCGAAAAGCTGTAGATTGGTTTTGGATGTTAAGTGAAATATTACTGTTCGATGCCGAAATTGGTTTGCATTCACATACTTAGTTGCAACCTAAGTTGCCCTACAAATGCAATTTTAGTGACGTTGCAAAATAGAGAATATCTACGTGATACCATATAAATAGATATTAGCATGTTTTTTCAACAATTGGGACTACAAAACTGGGCAGCATTATCAGTTAAAGAGTTATTTGAATATATGAAGAAAACATGAATACAAGAGGAAATTAAAAGAAATATTCCAATTTAAAAAATAAAGGTGAACATTTATACATATAACATGTTACGCAATGAAAACATTGGACACCTGAGCGGGAGACTCGAATGTGTCCCGTTCTGAGAGTAAGAAATGGAATTAAAAAAATAATTGTGTTGAATGCAAAACTGAAAGCAGGGGTTTATAAAAAATTAGATGCTTGCAAATTCTAGTAATTTTATATTGAAAATGTCGGATTTTTGGCAAAGCTCCACTTTCAGCATCCACTCAGATTCCTTATCAAAATAAGACTTTGTCGGTATTTTCAATTGTCAGCGGATTTTCCTATCCACTGTTCCAACATCACAAAGGAAAGTAATTATTCTTCTCAACTTAAGAATTTTGCCATTCAGCTTAAGGCCACCTGCAGTGATTTATCTTGAAAGAATTCAAACTTCCCTATTGGACAGTCAGTGCAATCACTGCAGTTGCAATTTATCTTGCGGTTGAACATTGGCAATGTTCTAAGCGTTTCGGCTCTATCAGTGCAGGTAAATCGATTTCCTTTCCCTTTATAGCTTTAGTTCCCAAACTAACTATTCCTATACTAAACATAGTTCTCAGATCCATCGAGTTTTAAAATCGAATATTGCCTAAAGCGTCATATTTTCAAATTGCAGATTGTAACAAATAGGTTAGTGACTTATTTAGGACTAAAACCGAATTTAAAAATTTAAAATAAACATATTTTGCTGAATGTAATTTTATAATATTGAAACTCTAATAAATATTAATTAATAACGTAGGCAAGAGCATAAAAGTGTACCACCTACACTGTACCAACCAAATGGTAGAATTCATTTGCGGTAATCAAAGATTTAGAGTCGATAATGTATAGGTAAGAATATGAGATTTGCATAGCTATGGAAAAATAAAATCTCTATCAATTTAATTTTTTGTATACAAATCCAATGTTATTTTTCGCGCTTTGTATGAACGTCAAGTGTTAGAACTCATTTTGCTTTAATGCTTTTGTAACTGGAACAGGACACAAATTTGAATAGTTTTTTATACATTTAGTAATTATTCAAAAAAATAAATGCAGTACTACTTAAAGTGCAAGCCAACCTTCAAGCAAACGCTGAAACATTACATTATCATTTTAAATGGTTGATAAATAAATTCCACGTACTAACGTATTCATGTACTTATTAATTATTTGCGTTTCTGAAAATGGAGAGTTGCTACACCCAAATTCGAAATGAGGAAACGTTAACGCCAAAAATATCCCTACTCCTGATTTCCGTCGCTATCTCCTTCAATATCCTGCTGCCCTGATAAAAACGAAAAGTTCCGTTTGCAATCAAAACTTTGCTAACAGAGAGTGTATACACCTAAATTTAAAGTAAGAAAACGCTGCCGCCGAACATTCCTGATATTCCTCGATATCTCCTTCAACATGCTGCTGCCCTGATACACACAAAAATCTGTATTTGAGACATTAACTTTGCTAATAGAGAGTTGCTACATCCAAATTTTAAATTAACGCGGAAAGTTTGTCCAGCTCTTGATATTCGCTCGCTACCTCTTTCAAAATGCTGCTGCCCTGATACATACGAAAATCTCCGTGTGGGATCAAACCTTTGCTAACAGAGAGTTCCCACAACTAAATTTAAAATAAGGGAACCCCAGCGCCAGAAATCCCTGATTTTCGTCGATATCTCCTTCAACATGCTGTTGCCCTGATACACACAAAAATATGTATTTACTTCAACTTCAACTTCAACTTGGCTAATAGAGAGTTGTTACATCAAATTTTCAAATAAGGGGACGTTAAAGCGAACAATTTGTCCAGCTCCTAATATTCGCTCGCTATCTCCTTCAATATGCTGCTGCCCTGATTCAAACG